TCATTTAGCCTTTAGGAATCAATATCAAACTGATACTGATTTTAGAGACATAAATTCATGTTGATTAAGGTTTGAAAGCTAACATTGATTCTCATTCCTTTTGAATAATGGCAAATATTTTCACAAAAAAATGCCTTTCTACCCCATTTATAATTATGGTGCTATTCTATTTGTCGATCAAGAAAATTTATAATGGAATGCAGTAAAACCATTTAGTAAATTTCGATTTATTTATTAAGAGATTAAAAACCTAGAGATACAAAAAAATGGAGTCACATAGCTATGTAAAATATATTATTTACGAAGTTCAAAGAAATGCTTTATGCACATCTGGGTTCAAGGATTTTACATCCTCATTTTACAGATGAGAAAACTGAGCCTTGGAGAAACGAACTTGTGAAGCTCATTGAGCTAGTAATTGGAAGAATGGGGATGTAAAGCCAGGTCTGGATGCCCTTAGAGCCCATGCCCTTACCTATGTCATTTGCTTCAGAGTATTAAATTAGGCCAAATGGGGTAGAAACAGGCATTTAGAGCTCCTGAATTTTAGACTGGTCCACACTTGTCTCATTTGGCTATTCAAAGTGAATGCGGCCTTGAATTAGAGAATCTGATGGAGAGAATCCCCTGCAAATCAGCAGTAGAACAGAGATGCCTGGATTCTTAATCCAACTCTGCCATTCACTGACCATAGAACCTTGTATTCCTTATTTACCTTCTCTGAGCCCCTATTTCTATTTCTTTAGCACGAGAATACACTGTCATAGGTTTTGAGGGGCAAGTCTATTTGTATATACTATAAAGTATTTAAAAAGTATGCATTATCATGATTATGTGATTTTCTCATTCCTTCTTCTGCTTTTCCACATCTGGAAATACTAAATTATAATAATGAGAGACATCTATTATTGTTGTGGTTATTAATCTTACATAAAGAGACAGGATTGGTTATCCATTAACTATGAAAGGATTAAGAAAAAGGAAAAATGTTTCAAGGTTCATGCTCATTTTGAGAAACTCGATAATCTAGTACTTGGAACTGACCACAGCAGAATAGCCAAAGGGCTATGCCACCAAAAAACCCTATTTTTTTTAAAAAAGAGAAACATTCTACTTCAATTTTCTCATTTGTAAGATATAGAGCAGATTTTTAAAGATGCCTTCTCATCCCCCCTCAATAAAAGGAAAATAAATCTTATTAATGTAATATGTGCATTAGATAATTTTATTATCTTTCTACACTTGAATGAACAAAGTCCATATTTTTAGGACTGTAGACTAGTTTGAAATGGAAAGATTATGTAGAAACTTACATGTAAAACAATTGACAAAGTAGAAAATATAATTGTATTTACGAAGTCAACTAGAAAAATTCATTAATAAAGATATTCTGTCAAAATAATAAGTTCCAGATCTAATGGATTCCTTACTAAACAGATATGCCAAGTGCAATGTTAATGTTTGTTTTTTGATACTAATGTTTCCTTAGGTAGATTTTTCTAGGATTGAGTGAAGTTAAACTATAGTTTCCAAATACCAATCAATTAGGGACATATTTTGTTGTATTTTCATCTTGCAGAAAGATAGCATGAAATAATGGAAAAAGCTTTGATGTATGATATGGAAATTCTAGGTTTTAGTACTTATTGGCTCTGTGAAAGTAGCTATGTAACATACTATATTTGCAGATTTTGATTTTATCATTTGTTAAATGAAAATAACAATATGTATTTGGTTTACTTCAAATTTATTATAAGTGTAAAATGAAATAGGCTCTACAGTACTTGGTAAACTGTAAATACCAACTTAGAATTCTATTAATCACCTTTTCAAGAGTTTCTATGTATATCTTTATTCCTTTCATAACATGAATCATTGTTGAAGTTTTAGAAAACAGAAATTCTATTTGCTCTTTTATGATGGCATTCTGAATGGGATGTGTACTAATGCTTGTAGCATGGCTGAATCAAACAGTGATTTGCTCTCTCAGTTTTTGTTCAGGAACTCATACACCATAAATTATTTGGAAAACTGGTTTGAAATGCAATCTGAGCCCTTTATACTGCTTGACTGTTGTTACTTAGGAAACCCTTAGAGAATCCTATAATAATGCTAACTATATCTAGAATTTATATTAATTCTGATATTTCATCACGTATATTCAGGAATGGTCTGTATACTTAAAAAATGACCTGTAATTACATTGAGCATTTAAATATTTCTGTTATTTCTTTAAAAACAAAACAAAAATTAAATCAGTAAACCTTTTCCCTTTTATCATTCTGGCAGGCTAATCATGTGAACTGAAATATGGATAAGGAAGCATATCTGGTTCTAATTTCTGAACTCAACACCAGATGTCTTCAAGTTTTGCCTTTAAAAAACATTTTAACTTTCATGAAGCCATCTCAGTGCAAGCGGTAAAAATCACTACAGACTAAAAGTTTGAATTTTATATTTTACTTTTTTGCCATGCTTTTGAGGAACATCTCCAGTGAATGATCATAATGACTAGAAACCTTTTCAGCGTAAATATGTTGTATAAAAAGCTCATGTATTGTCAAATCATTTAGACCTAGAATACGAAATGTGAAGTTTGCCCCAAGAAAAAACACCATGTTCCTTATGAAGCCCTTTACCCACTAGAAAGAGGACCTCAAAAGTGTTTGCATCATGGATGGCTTGAGAGCATTCTGGACTTGCCCTAAAAGTTTGTGCTGGGGACAAAAATGAGTCATATATCACTGCTGAATATAAAAAAGCTCCAGTCATTCATAAAATTTAAAAATATTTACCTTTTAAACAAGTTTTTTTTCCCCAAAGGTCTTTTTCAGGCTCTTTGTAGTTTAAAGGAGATATAATTTCTGACAGCTGCAGATAGGCTATTAGCCAAACAGAATAACCAAATGTGAAATATCTTTAGTTATATTCCCAAAGCAATGGGAAAACCTATGAGTTACTGCCATCACTCTTTCTTTAAAGTAAGTTCTATGGACATGTATATTTATCTAATAATGTTAATAAGATATTTAGTAAGTTCTATCTTACTTGAATATACAGAAGATGAGAATCGTGAATAGAGTTGTATATAAACTAAAAGAACATATATTCACTTATTAATTCAACGAACATGTATTGAGGGCTTAAGATAGACCAGACACTCAGAAATGGAAATCTAAGATGTATATGAAAAACTCAGAATGTATAAATAAAAAGAAGCAAGCGTGAAACAATTATAATAGTGTATCATAAAAACTCAGAGTATTGAACAAACTTACATTCATTCAGCAGTGTTTATTAATCACTTATTATATGCTGGCCTTCGGAGACAAAACATGGTGAAAAGTGAGCGAGACAGACACAGGCCTTTCCTCTTGGAGCTTGCATTTCCAGTTGTCCACTGGGCATCCTCACCCAGGTGTTCTACCTGTACATCAAAACTGACTCATGTAAAATTAAGCTATTTATTTCTACCTCGAAGCTAGCTTTTTCTTCCAGGATCCTCACTTCTGTTATTGACACATCCATTTCTTCAGTTCCTGAGGCCTCGAACATCAAATCGTCAACTCTTTTCTTTTGCCTCTCATAATGATTCCATCGATTTTGCTTTCCAGATACCATGCCATCTTTTCTAGCCTCATTCTCCCCTTTGAGTACACCTCTCTATTACCTTTCGCCAGGCATGTTTCAAAGTCTCCTACCAGATTTCGCTTGTCTTCTTTATTTTTTTTCTTTTCTCACTTATATGGATAAGCTATTAGATGATTATTCCTAAAGAAGAATACTAATCACATCACTGCCTTGTTCAGGAGACCTCCAGGTCTCTCTAGTTCTTGTCTAATTAAGCAGAATCTCCACAGTCTGTCATTTATGCCTACCATAATAGCCCTGATCCCACTAACCAACAAATATAAATTATATTTATGTCCTAATTACAATGGTGCTGAGCTACCCCCTGCAGAGAATGTTTCTTAAACTTCTGGTTCTGATTTTCTAACTTTGTTTTGAAATTTTTAAAAAAGAAAGCAAGCTGTTTCCAGCTTGTGTATTGTTTTCTTTTTTCTTTTTTTCTTTTTTTTGAAGGTTGTTGCCTTGCATTTCATTCCAACAACAATAACACAAGCCTTCTTCTGCCTCTCTTATTTTGTAGTTTTTGGGGTCTATTTTCTATTCTTGATTGTGAGAACCAAGAAAATAGAAAAGGCAGGGCCCTTCTAGGCAGGTGGATTAAGAGAAGAAATGATACAGAAAATTCAGACTTTTCTTGAGACTGTAAGTGGATGGGGAAGACTGGCAACAATCATATGTTAATAATTTTGGTCTCAGTCACACTCATTTGCCAGCTGTAGTCAACACTTGGCACCCTCAAACTTCTCACTTTCTGGTTTCCACTTGTCAACTCTGCTGCGTAAAAAGCTCGTTGAAGGAGCCTGACCTCTGTTCCATCATGAGAACATCAATACGTGTGCCAAGAGTTGGTTCCTCAGGCTGATGCCTCTATCTCACCCTCCAGATGAATGGGACTATAAGCTCTTCCCCAGATACACTCTGATTTCTTGTCTCCATGTCTTCCCTCTTTCTGAAATGGTCTCCTCTCATTTCTGCCTATTACAGTCCTGTATTTTAAGTTCCATCTCTCATGCCAACTACTCTCCAATGTTTTCCCCAATTTTTTTAATAGCAGGGCAGTCATTGTTTACACCAAAGAAACGTTCCTGATTACCTTTAAGTTCCATCTCTCATGCCAACTACTCTCCAATGTTTTCCCCAATTTTTTTAATAGCAGGGCAGTCATTGTTTACACCAAAGAAATGTTCCTGATTACCCTGAATAATGTGCATAATTCAAAAAAAAAAAAAAAATGGACCCATACGAATCAAAAAAGAGTGGCAAGTACTTCTATTTATCAGCTAAAATGGGACTGACACATGGTAACATAATTTACTTCATCTTCTTACCTTGAAAATATGTAATTCCTAACATATTTTGAACATTTTTAGAGCTCTACATTACTCTGAAACCCGTGCATAAAAAGACACTTGGAATATTTCTATTACCATAACCAACTCAGCTGTGATCTAAATGAAGAATATTCAGAATTATAAGCATAAAAGGTAAGTCCATATGATATAAAAATATTCCATAAAAAAGATTAATATAAAACTTTTCATCTAAGGCTGACAGCAATGAATATTGTCCTTCAGGAGACAAATTTCCATATATGAGACTTTTGTGCTTGATAATCTTACTGTGTCTGGAAAAAACACTCCATTTGGAGATTTCTTTCCCCTGGATGTATTAGTAAAATGTGACTCAAAGCTGCTATAATTTAAAGCTTACTTCCTCTGTCTTCCGTCCACTCCTTGTCTCTGTTAAAGCCTGCTATCCCAGCTGCTCTCGTCACCTATTTTAATAACTAAGTAAACAAGTGAGTAAGTTTATTAATTAATCTACACAAACTGAAGTAGGTTGGGGTTCTGTAATATTATTGGAAGTGTTAAGGAAATGGAGTCTCACTGTAGAGTGGCAACTTTATGTTGTTTCTTTTTTCTCCCCTCCTTCCATCTTCCTTTACACTCCCTTCTATTAACCAGGAAATTCTTCCACTTTGTCTTGTAGATCCACTTAAAGAACAGTCCTACTTGCGCTTTTAACTCCAAATATCTATGAATTTTTTTCTAAAAAATTTCTATGCCCTCCCTGGAAGGAATTCTGCTCTACACAATTTTTGTTGTTGTTTTATACTAAGGCAGGTTAGAAATCAGGACTTACTACGGCCATGCCACCCTGAACAAGCCTGATCCCATCTGTTCTTGGAAGCTAAGCAGGGTTGGGCCTGGTTAGTCCTTGGATGGGAGACCACCTAGGAAGACCAGGTGCTGTAGGTGTAAAAAATAAAAAAATAAAAAAAAAATAAGAATTGTAAGCTGACAAGGTCCTTGCAATCTGTGAGGTCAACTAAGGCTTGCCTCGCCTAAAAAATAAAAAAAATTAAAAATTAAAAAAAAAGAAATCAGGACTTAAATTACATTGATAGAATTAACATATTTAGTGATAAGAAGATATCATTTTTATTTTTGAAGCTTATAGCTGGAAGAGATCATGTTTATTAGGGTTGATTGTGTGATACCTAATCCAGTATCATAAAATGAAGGTTTGGTTTTTACTTTGCAATAAGAGATGATGCAACTGATGGAGACTAATGATAATTCAGATATCAGATGCTTATAACAGTTACTTCAGTGAATGTGGTCCATCTTCCAAAGATTGTCCATTGTAATGACTAAGCATGCCTGTTTGTTACAATACAGTTTAAAACTTGAGGAAAATATATGTTAAAAGTTTTCAGAATAATGAGCCAATAGGTCAAAGTATGTAGCTACATCTCTGGTATTAAAATAATAATTTTTATTGCTAGGTTCGTTAATAAAACAACAGTGAAACATTTTAATGGGTATGTTCTTTCTCTGAAAGGAAAGGCTGAAAGCATTAAGTGTTCAATGTGCCAGTAAATTTCAAAGCCTCCCACTTGTACTGTCAACCGTCTGGGGGGAAATGGCTCTAAAATGATATTTAATTACTGTATATCATGGGTAAGATTATTTAACTAAATTTTGGAATTTGAAAAAAATTCTCTTGAGTCTTAATTTTGTGTCTATGTTTTAAAAAATCAAGAAAAAGGAAGAATTACATAGGAAAGGACTTAAAAAGAGTTCATGTACATCTCTAGAAATTTAAAATCTTTCTCTTCATTCAATAATTTGTAAAGAAAAGAAACATTCAAAGATCATTAGCAGTACTATAGAAAAAGGACAATATGTTGATCATGGTGACATAAATAAAATAATGGCTGTTTTCTACTTCGAACCAAAGGTTATCTTAATGGCAGGAGTAAGTGAATGAATACAAAAAAATATGTATTGTAAACAATGAGAAGCCTTTTGATTGCTTTTAGAGAGACTATTTTTGGTGTGGTTATTGATCCAAATGCTAGTGGCTGGCTAAAGCTACCCTACTACTGTATCCGCACACCGAACCCTACAGTTTTGCAGCTGAGGCTTTTTAGTGCCTCAGATTGGTGGTGCATACGAAGAAATATTTCTTAGTTTACACACTTGTTTTGACTTGAAAACTTTCAGCTTGGGATTTAGCCCTGAGCTCATGTGCTAACCACATCTGTTTACCTCTGTCTCATTCCTAGTATTTGCACCTAACTTCTGAGTTAAGAACAGGAAACAGCTTCCACAGAGACTCACAGATTCAGAGTGTGAAGATATATAATGAATTGCAATGGAATCAAAATCAAATCAAGAAGATTGTTCTCCATGTTCTCATAATTTCCTCACGGGATGAAATTTACTTTCTATTTTCTTAGTTTTGGTTGCTGCTTACCTTCCCATGGCATTTATAATTTTCCTTCAATAAAAAGTGAAATGAACACATACATTATTATGATTTCTGAGACCTTTTGCTACTTCACTTAAGATGAGTTAACTGACAAATTCACTTTGTAAATTTATTATTATTTGTATTATATGGATCCTTTGAGAAGAGTAAACTAGTATTTTCATCTACTTAACCTTGATAACCTTGATTATCAATCACTGGGTTTTCCTTCCAAAGTCAAATTGCGAACGAATTTATTAATTAAAAAATTGTCAAATAAAACAATGTAATATACTATATGTACCCATTTATGTGCACATAGACACGTGTGTTTAAATGCAAATGGATTTGATTTTCTTAGTGCTGATGTCATTGTTTATCTTTGAAAGAAATGGAATTCACCTAGAGCAACTTAATATCTACACACTGTGCCCCATTTGTAAGGCAATTATTAATTATTAATGTAAAATCATCTCACCCATCCCGAGATTTGCCTTTGTATCTTAACAAAGAGATTCATTTAAAAAGTAAGTTTAACTTTCTGGTAAACATCTCTTCACATCTAGTTCTCTTCTTTACAGTTTCATCCATTAATTTCAAAACTGAGCATTTCTTTCTAGACCTAGGTGAAGGAAATATTTTGGAGTGGCTGTGCTTTATGGCACATTTCAAGTGATTCTATAAAAGATTATCTAAAGATATTCTGAATGATGATCAAAGATCATATCAATGACATTTGTTAAAGGATAAGCACAGCCACTTGTTGGTCCATACATGTCTTTTGTAAGGTGCACAGTGGAAGTAGCAAGGGATTGAGGTCAAACAGACCAGTGTCACTGAGTCACTCCATCCTGAAATCTCTATCTTAAAGAATTGCTTTGAAGATTAAAGATAATGTACGCAAAATGTCTAGCATAAAGGTGCCAGGAATAGAATAGACGTGATTGTTTTTATAAGCTCAAAGATTGCATCTCCCAAGCCACTCTTAAGAGCAGATAATTAATACTGTGTTAGAGGAAAAGAACAGGAAGAACTCACTGTACAGAATTCTGCTCTTGTACCCAGCCTGCATTTATTGATAGTTACCTTGTAGCTAGTGATCCAGTGGCTATTAGAATTCTTTTTTTAAACAGTGTTCCTGTTTACTAGAGAAAAAAATAGAGCAATATTTACTAGTGCCCCCTTCCACCTAAGATACTAGAAAAGTTACAATTGTCAACATTTGTTAACATTTTGAAGATTCTGAAAAGAAAGATGCTAAACATTAATTATGCATAGTTACAAAATAGACTTCTCCTTGATGGAAAAGTTTAAAAAAAAAATGAATTTTAAGAGGGAGGAAATTAACAGCAGAAAGGAAACTTTATATTTTGGCAAGCTCTGAAACATAGAAACATTATTCTTTCATGGTTTTCCATGAATTTGAATCTCTTGACAGTTTCTCAATTATAGCTTGTAACTATGGGCTTCAAAGCAATTCTGCAGTTCACTTCACGTCAGCCAGTCAATCAATAATGTTTATTGAATTCCTATGGAAGAAAGAATACTGAATGAAGGACTCATTTTCATTTTCCTCAGCACAGGTCCCTTGATCCAGAGTCTGTCATTCAGCCATCCAAACCTGCGAATAGTCTCTCACTTTGAATCCGTCCCCACAGTGTTTTCCCAGAGACCCTCTGAAGCTGGAGTTGACCTCCTCCCATACATTGTGTATCTTCCTGCCTGTACCAGATGAAAACCCTTTAGGCCGGAAGCTTTCGCAGATTAATACCAGACCCTTAATCTCATACCACCTCCTACCTAATGCCATTCAACTTTATTTTATAAATATGTGTATTGTTTGGGCTGAACTGAACCCAAACTATAATCTCTACAAGTTTAAGGCTTAGGCTCAATTATAGGATCACAGGGTATTCAAGTTCAAAGGAGTTTTTAACATTTAGCCCAATCATCTTATTTTTTTCAGACTGAAATGTGTCAAAACCAAGACTCAAGAAAGGAAAATTACTTATCATGGCATAGTGAAACGGCAGTAGGCTTTGGAGTCCCAAAAATAAAACCCAGGGCTGGTTCCTGGCTTCACAAATTGCTAGTTGTTAGTACTTGGGCAGATCATTGAAGCTCTGTGCCTTATTTTATTTTAAAAAGGAGGGTTAATAATTATTGTAACCTTATTGACATTTTTAGAAATGAATGTGAAATGCCTGGCAAATTTAAGATGCATGGTAAATAATGACTATCCTTCTCCAAGGTCACAGCTGATAAACAGCAGACCAGAACTAGAACCCAGAACTTCTATGTCCAAGTTCAGTGCTTACTCTTTTCTGACCTTATGCCTATTTCCAAAGGAGTACCACTCCCCTGGAGGCATTCAGTAAACATTTCTAGGTGATGATTATTTACCAGACAGATGAGAATTCTTTTGATACAGGCAGGTAGGAGGGATTTTGTTATTTTTTTCTTGCCTTAAGGGAAAGATTCCATCAGTAAAGTAGCAATAAAAATGTTCCCTCTATTAGTGGAAATGATTAACACTCCTTTAGTTAGGCAATATTTTCCCACTCGGCCTCACACAAACCAAGCCACACAGATGGGGGAATCAGAAACCCTAAGAAAACAGCAACAAATTGGTTTGGTGAGTGGATGTGGTTAAAAATCTTTCATCTGGTTTGTCTCAACTGGTTGTAGAAGTTATATGGGTTTTGAATGAGTTGAAAATCCAAGCAAAATGTTATGAATATTAAGCCACGGGTATCAAAGCTTGGAGGATCTGATGAAAAACGAACCAATGTAAACCAAAACATAAGGACATTACACACCTCCTTTCCTGAAAGCCAATTTCTGGCAGGAAGAAACACTTAACTTTTTGTAGGAGACGAATATGCAGCCTTTCTAATTAATTATCACCTCAGTGTTTATTTTTCAATGAATCAGTGGGCTGGAATGATTAAAGCATATGTGGCTCAGAAACTCAGGCAGGAAGGAGTGAGCTGGGACTAAAAGCCGATGTTAAATGTGTCCACATTGGCTGTCCCTCCGGAATACAGCCTTGCCATGAATAAAAGAGTTCTCTGAAGCATAAGTACTTACACAACTCACCAATTTGCCCTGCCAAATATGCTCTTCATGTATTTGTAGCGATTGCTTGAAAATGGTAGTTCCAGTTGGAAAGCTGAAGAAGGGTGAATAAATCAGTACAGAAGTGATCTGCATTGTCTACTTCCTTGGTCTTAATCATAAAGGCATTGATATTCCACAGTGCCTTGCTTTAGATTGTTCTAGAAGTAAATCATTTTCCATCAGAACAAATATTCGAGAGAGCACTGACTTATTTTGTTTTGGTCAGACCAATAGGTGAAACTGCTAGTAGATGAGATTGTGCAGAATGAAGAAGCATCTATTATAAGTTCCAGAATGGCAAGTGAAAACTTTTTCTCTTACCTTGTAGCAGTTCTAATGCTATAGAATCTTTTAACCAGAGTAAACTAATGAGGTGTTTGTTTGTTTGTTTGTTTGTTTGTTTTAATTTAGTGATTTGACAATGCGGCAATAGACCTCTTAAAACTCTAGGAGAAATATGTTTGGAAGCTGCTTTGTCAAAAGCAGTTGTTCAAAAGCTTCAGAATCAACTTGTTTTTGAAATTTAGAGAAGGATGATCTAAACTGAAAATTTTAGCTGTTATATTTAATTATAATGAATGTTTATAATTCATAGCACCATATGTGTGCAGATATAAAAGAGCAGCTTTATAAAATAAATTTGCTTTAATGACAAATTCCCGTGACCAAACCATCACGTGGATGACTTAAAGCTCTATGTTTAGTTCAGAAGTGTAAAAGTTCTGAGAAAAAAAGAAGTCGGGCCATTTAAAAGTCTCTAGTTAAACATCATGCTGAACTAGTTAATGGGTAATCATGAATCATTTTATATAAAGTAATACATAATAGAAGGTTTGAAGTTAAAATTTTAATTGAGAGCAAGGAATAAATCGGGGGAGAAGCTACTGATGATTCTTGAGAGGAAAAGGGCATTGGGGAAATATGACTTTGCATAATAGTAACACCTTAATAACTATCTCTTCCTCACCTGCCGTGACACAGGAAGAAGGCACGGAGGAAATGTTCTCTGGACAAAGAAAATACAAAGATTTTGATTTCTTGAGTTAAAGAGACAATTAAGCACAGTAAAGTGCTTGCCAAAGCAATTAAAGTATATAGATAATTAAAGGCTCCTGGTAACAAAGCAATGTCTTTCATGCCGAGCATGGTAGCACCGAAATGACTCACCAAATTGCCAAACTCTGCCTGGGATTGACATCAAAATTCTTTTGAACGTAAAAGCAGATGCAGTGTAAGTTGAAAACAGTTTGTATTTAGACAAGTTTGCAAATACAAAAACCGAAATGAACAGTATGAGATAAATGACGATCGTCGTTGCTGAGGAACTATTGCAGGTACACTAGAAAATGGAGCACTGGACGAGGAGCGGAATGGTCCCAGCTGCTCTGTTAAATTGTGTAGCTATGGAGTTCTGGACTCGAAATAGAGGATAGGTTTATGGTTTCCTAGATGATTTTAAATAGCACTTAAACCGTGCTCTTATATTATATCGACATTTCTAGATGTTCATTTCAAGACGGCGGATTTAGAACATGCTTTAGTCTTTCACTGTGTGTCATTCAGGAACTATCAAAACAAAACAAAACAAAACCCGCCGAACAATTCTAGGTATTTAAATGAAAGGAATTTAATATAAGAGATTGGTTACCACATGATGGAAATGTAAAGAAGAGAAACAGGAGATAGAGAAATAAAAGATATACAATAGCAGGAAGCCACTATTTCTAAGCTCTGGTAACAGAGTTCTGCAGGTAAGGCCATTTGACTGTAGGTCTAGCCTTGGCCCGGGATCTTAAAAGAGGGAGGGAGTGGGTGCTGAAGCCATAGAGACTACGAAGCCAATGCTAGACATACCAAAAGAAACAGAGAGAAAGGGGATAAATACCCTGGCTTTCCTCCTCTTTCAATCTTCCAGTCTTTTGTCTCTCATTAGCAAAC